GTTCTAGTGGCATTCTTGTAAATCCTTTAAGGCTTTCTTTGTAAGCAATGATGTGTTCTCAATAGAATCAATTTATATATCTTTTATCTATTTGAATTGTCTTCTTCTACTGGCTAAGATCTCCAGTACAATGTTAAGTAGATGTGAGAAAAACATTTGTTGGCTTGTTCCCAGTCTTGGAGGAAATTGTTCATCTCTAGCACTAAGTTGGATGATAGCCCAAAGACTTTTCATAGATTTCTTGTGTCAAGTTGAGAAAGATTCTATTACCAGTTTACATCAAAGTTGTTGAATTTTCAAACATTTTTCCTTTCTTTAATGAGATATTCATAGTTTTTTCTATAAATATGATAAATTACATTGATTGATTTTTTACATGTTAAACCCATACTGTATTACCAGAATAAATTTGATTGCTTTTTTGAGGCAAATCTATTATATTTTTTTATATTGTTGGATTTGGTTTAACAACATATATTTTGGGGAATTTTTCCTCTCTTTTCATGTGAAATATTTGGTCAGTGGTTTTCCTTTGTTCTCATAGTATTGATTATCAGGGTAACTGGCCTCATTAAAATTCATTAAAATATTATCTTTTCTTTGAATTTCAGAAAGAGTCTAAATAAGATAGAAATTATTCTTTATGATTTGATTGAATATTAAATCAATGAGGCTATCTGAGCTTGGAGTTTTTGTTTGTTGATTTGTTTTGTTGTAACAGGGTTTGTAAAGACAAACAGGTGTCAGTTTAATTATCTTTTCTTTCATTGTATTTATTCACTGTAAGTTCATTGTTTGTTCACAATATTCTTTTGTGCCCTTTTTAATGTTTGCAGCATGTTTGCTTGCCGGGGTCCAGCCTTGGCAGGATCCAGGGGGTACCTTCAGGATGATCGGTGTTGGCGAGAGAAGACACGTGAGACCAGCCTTGATAGGGCCAAGTCTGTGAGGGAGAGAGAGAGAAAGAGAGAGAGTGACCAGACCGGGGGGCGGGGGGGCGGTGCACAGAGTCTGGCAAATCTTTATTTTTTACCATAGCTTTTATATTCTAAGTTAGTACATTTTTAAGGGGAAGATAATTTAATCAGCTTATCCTTCAGAAACCAGGGTGTTTCCTGCAACTTCTTTGTGAGAGTCTTGTACATTATCTTCTGGCCTTGGGGCCTATTGACATTTTATGACCTAGGTGAATGCAAAGCTGTTTTCCATAATCTATTCTTTAATGAACACAAAGGTCAATCCTTTTGCAGAAGTTTCAGTTAAATTTATCTAAAAGGTTTACCGCACAAAGACTCTGCAGCTCCAGTGAGGCAGCCCCTGTTTAGCATTCCTGGTTAAAATTAACAATTCTAAACTCTTATTTTTCTAGATCTTTAACTATAACCACTTTTAGAATAATATTTTATGTTCTCTAATAGGGCTTCCTCACCCCCGAAGGGCTCTGTACTTTTAGGGCCTTTTGTGTGATCAGGTTCTTTATGCTGTTTATGATTAAGGTGTTGTGAGCAGTCCTGTGCATTAGTACGCATTTGCCAAGCAGGCTAGAATGCCAGCAAAGGGGTCTAAATTGAAACACTCCTTTCATCCTGGATAATCTTATAGGATACCACCGTCCGAGGGACATATTGATTAAAGTTCTAAGTTGATTCTGTTTGGAGAGAGATGGGGAAGGCCTTCTACCTGCGTCACAGAAATTAGGGAGTGGTCTAATATAGCAAGCATCAGAAAGACAGAGATCATCTTTAAGGTGAGCGCTGGGGCAGCTTTTCAAAATCCCTGAAGTCCTGATCAGCCTTTCCTGTCAGGTCTTCTCCTCACGACCTTGTCATGGGTGGGATCTCGTGTGCTGGCTCCCGGCATTTGCTTATCCTGGCCACAAAGACTTCTTTAGACAGGGCAGGTTTCAATGGTCATCATTTACATGATAGTTCCATTTCCTAACTGTGTTAATACCTGTTCCAGGCTGTATTTTCACATCAAAGGTGATTATGAAGTTTAATTGTAATAGCAGAATGAAAGCAGTGTGTGTGGGTTTCTGTATGTGCTGTGTGTACTGTGTGTATAATGTTATGTATTGTGTTTGTATGGTATGTGTGTTTGCTTTCCACAATCAGCGATTGCTTAGCCCTTGCTGAGATGGCAAAGAAAAGACCTTTCCCTGTGGACAAATGGCCGGAGTCTCTCAAAAGCCCTTTTGTATGGCTATTATTGCTTTTATGTCACCAAAAATTAAAGCGTGTGCTCAGTCATGTCTGACGCTTTGCGACCCCACGGACTGTAGTGCACCAGGTTCCTCTGTCCACGGGTTAGGTTGCCATTTCCTTCTCTAGGGGATCTTCCTGACCCAGGGATCAAATCTCCATCAACTGCTTTGGAGGCGTATTCTTTTACTACTGAGCCCCCTGGGAAGCCCCTTTATATAACTAAGCATGTATGAAAAAAAATTGTTAACTTTCATATCAGATTGTGTTGAAGTTTGTAGATGGAAATATTACATCACAATGGGAAAAGATGAACTTTCCAATAAGACACATCTGTATGCATATTCTGGCTTGTCACTTATTAAAGATATAGACTGGATATTTTATTTAATCTTTCTCAAAAATGCTTGATAACCTGTAAAATGGGTATACAATAGCTATTTTTTTAAAGAAAGCATTAATAATTACTCAAGATTTTGCATCATTCCTGCATCATTAATTTGCTCAGTTAATATCAACAACTTCTATTGATACTGTACTGACTTTCTCTTGACATAGACAAATTATCAGTGGGGACTACTGTATGTCTTCTACAATGTGTGCAGGATTAGCATCTTCTATCTGTATTTAGATCATCATCTAAGAGAGGACATCATTACCACTTTTTTTTTATGGTTGCAGGAACCATAGTCATGCTCACTGTGGCAGTTTCTCTTTATGGCAACTTTTTCTGATAGTTGCAGAAGTCATCAGATGCAAGATATTGATTCTTTTTCCTCAGGGGAGCACTGAATAATAGATTGATTCAGTTTAAATGGTCTTAGAGATTGTTTAGGAAAGAGTTCAAGACAATTTAGCAGACATTAATAGGGTTGCTCATGCTAGAGGTCTTCTGGGACTTTCCAACATCCATTGCAATTTCTCAATTATTTTTAAAAATGACTGCTTATAAAAAAAACTCATAGAGGAGGAAGGATTCTCAATCAATAGAAAAGAAGATTGAGTGGGGCCACCTTGATGTGAAAAGTCAACCTACATAGCAGAACATAGAGACTCCAAAGATAAATCATTTGTCAAATGTTTTTCAATTTAAAGGCAGGTTTTCCTTATTTTCATTTGCTCCTTTTTGAGAGGGAATAGTTATGTTCAAAAGAAGCATCACATCAATTCATCTCTGTGGAAATCAAAGTAAAGTGAAATTCTGTTCTCAAATTAATGTTTATCTAACAGACTTGGATCTTGTAATGGATAAAGCAATAGAATCCATCCAACATCCATTGTGAGAGATCATAGGGACACGCTGGTCTGTTCTGACTTTCGGTGCAGAGATAAAAGCAACAGCTGAATAATCTTAATAGAACTAGGCTGTTCCTATGGTGTGCCTGTTGGCACATTTTCCTCTTAAAAAATTACACATGCTGAATTTTATTGTTTTGCTCACTAAACCCTATCAATCTTCATGAGCTTATAATTAAGACAATATTATACTTGGAGGGACTCCCTGCTGTTATCAAATAACTTTGAAAAGAAATGGAAAAGTACAAGTTGTGTAACTATTATTACAAATTCCAGCTATTTGAAATGATCATGGAAGACCACGAGGGATTTTCAAGGTTTTTATGTGAATTTTAAAGGGTCGGGCCACAGAGTTGACTTCAAGAAATTTTATAAGAAAAAATAATAAGCAACGGAGTATATTTTATTTTGTTTTTATTCCTTTTATTTAAAGGTTTTTTAATTTTTATTTTTTAATTAATTAATTGATTATTTTACTTTAGAATATTGTATTGGTTTTGCCATACATTGCCTTAAACCCGAGAAGCAGAAAACCTAACGAAAGTCCCAACTCTCCGTCTGCCAGCAGGTGGCAGTATTGATGCATGAAAAGCCGTGCAAGTTACTTTGCCATCACCTGCTTAGGTTTTCAGTTTGTTTCAACTCCAGGTATCTGAGCTGAATCAGAATTCCTAATAGGTGCTCTGCGTCCCCAGTTTTCATCTCTCTCTCTTTTAAATAAAGAAGTTTTTCTTAAAGAGTAGTTATAAAGCCACCGAAAATTTGAGTGGAAGTTACAGTTTTCCTATCTCTGCCCTCCCTCCATTCATGAGCAGTCCCCCATTATCAACATACTCCAGCAGAGTGATACATTTGTTAAAACTGATGAACCTGCATCTGCTCATCATAGTCACAGTTTACTTTATGATTCACTTTTGATGTACATTCTATGTGTTTGGATGGTATATTCAGATACAATGGATAATGTGTGATGAAATGTATCCATCATGCAGAGTATATTCTCTGCCCTGAAATCCTCTGTGCTATGCTAATTCATCCATCTCCCGTTACCCCTGGCAACCACTGATCATTCTCCATATATTCACCTTTTTCAGGATATCATATATTTAGAACCCTACAACAGGTAACCTTAGATTGCTTCCTTTCACTTAGTAGTATGCATTTAAGGTCCCTCTCTTTTTTTTTTCATGGCTTGATAACTCATTTCTTTTTAGTACTGAATATTATTCCTTTGTGGGGACAACTTCTCTATTTATAAAGAGATATGTTTCCCATTTTCAGCTCTCTTTAGACTTTGACAAAATTGTGATGTTGTAACTTTTGTTTTTTTCCACCCAGACTCCTACTTGGCACTTGACGGTTTTACTCCAGAACACACTCCACTCAGCAAACCTCCCAGACTGCAGGTGTCTGGGATACTGTCCTTACTATGTCTTCCAATTACTCCTCCGAAGTGGAACTTTCCTAAATCAGATAGCAATAAAGGATCTGCACTCCTTTCAGATTCCTGGAACATCTTCTGTCGTTCAGAGAAAATGGAAGGCCCTGCAGCCTCTTTCACAGCCTCGGGGGCCCGGACAGCCGACCAAATCCAGGATCAGCGCTGTGGCTGCTGAAGTAAAGCAGATCCGAGCCAGACGGAAAACAGCCCGGATGCTGATGGTTGTGCTCCTAGTGTTCGCAATTTGCTATCTCCCAATTAGCATCCTCAATGTGCTAAAGAGGTAAAGCTCACGTATTATTTGAAAATGAAGAGATCTGCCATTTCTCTTGGTTCTTAATTAAGGGCTTTTTTCTTTTTTTTAAGCCAGAGAAAAATTCTAAGCTGTCTGCCAAGATAGCTTGTCTGGCCAGATAACTCAATGTGTTGTTGTTACCAGCAGGTAGGAACACACAGCTTTTTAGAGTGTTGGGACTTTAAATGCTCTTATCCATGCTAATTCTCTATTGAATGACAGACAGAAAACAGATGTTCCCCGTGACCTCTTCAAGTTAATTGCTGAATCTCAGATGCAGAAAAAATTCTAATGCAAAAAAACTCATTTACAGCTTGGAGCTCTTTTTTGATCAGAACAAATGGGTTTTCCAACTTTGTTTTCAAAGACATAGGGAATGGTGACAGAATTTTATCTAAAGGACAAAAAGAGATAAGAATTGTGTTAGTGTTCTAATTAAAAGTGCATTTATGAGAACGTGCGCGCACACAAGTGGAATCACAGCACATACTGTGATTTGAATGCTTAAACAGAAAGAGAGAAAATCCATTTTTCTGAAGTAAGTAAATCAAGTTTAGGGTGAATAGGTGAATAGTGTTAATAACCAAAATCAACACAAAGCTTTTCGGTGAGAGAAGTTATGTTCCTGTAACCCCGAGGGTACACTTTTAAGTTAAAACAGTTTGCCAACATAATCAGCTGATACGGGGCAGTGGTACCCAGAAACCTTCAACCATCTTTATTGGAAATTATCTTAATAGTTGCACAGAGGCTGCTCCCAAGGTAATACTGGTTCTGTTTATCAGAGGACTCTAACTAAAATTAGGATTGCGCCTCTCATTTTCCCCTGATTCGGAGTCAATATCCTATTCCTCACAGTTGGGGACTCTGGAGAGAGGCAGCTTTGGCTGGAATCACACAGTCTGAAGGTGGTATAACCAGCTGCAAAATTTATCTTTCTCTTTGGGGCTTTGTCTTTGATTGTTTAATGACTTTTTTTCTTTACATTTTTAAAAAATAAATTTTATTGAAGTAATGTTGATTGACAAAGCTGCGTTAGCTTCAGCCGCACAGCGAAGTGATTCAGTTATACATATATATATTTGTAGTGACTTTATCAATGGTAGAAAGAGAAAATGGACTTTTCAGCAATGTTGTTTAGTACAGGCACAGCCTTAAAGGTACAAAATCTGTGGCAGCTTTGGTCCTTGAGATATACCAGTTCACAATAAAAGGGAAGCTTCTTTGCCCTCCACATATATATGTGTGTGTGTGTATATATATATATATTTTTAATTCCCTTCTTAATTTTCCTGCCCACAGAAATCATGTACAAATGTATTCTAGTCTGATGTAAAATGATGTTTCTGTTCCTAAGGACCTATAAACTTACTGGATAGGTTTTCTCTTTTTTTTTTTTTTTTTGTACTTTTATTTTAGTATGTCTAAACTCAGTGAAAATTGGATTTACTGCTCTCTCAAAGACACACTTGGATTTCCTGCATCTCAGTCCTAGTACCTTCCCTTTAGCTAGTTCCAAATACCTACTTGTCCATAATATTTCTATTCTTCTGACTTACAGACCTTCCTTTCCAAGGAAAATAAATGGCTTTCTGAGGAGAAAACCCATGTTAAATTTAAAATAGTGTTTTTTGAGTCTTCTGGTCTTTGTCACAAAATAAAAATTTCAAAATAACCTTTAAAGTTGTTTTTCTCTTTACCACACACATTTTCCTCAAATACTTGTCTCTGTTTGCCCTCTCATTTTATACTTTTGTTTTCTTTCTCTTACAAATAAAATCCTTAATTCTTTTCTTTGGAAGTCAGTTTGTCTGCTGAGTCAAAACCGACATCTTTAAAGCAAGTCTGGTTTGTATATTATTTCAAAGATATATTGTGATAGAGGGTCATAACATATTCATTGCATTTATCCACATTGTCTCACTATATATTACATTTTTGTAAGACTAGAGTACTCCATAGAACATCGCTTTATTCAGACAATCTTTTTCTATCATGTGCACAAAATCCACAATGATGAAACGTCTATCAAGAAATACATTATAATCTTCAGCCTACCAATTTACCAAGTAGTTACAAGTTGCCTGCTGTTATCTAGTGAATAGAATTTGATAGCTGAGATATTTCAAAGAAATATCTTTGAAGAAGAAGAAATCTTAAAAATGACCTTTAAAGACATAGTAATAAAATATTTGTAAGAGTTTAAAATAATGAATAAAAATATTAAAACTTAAAAATTTTAAGAAATTGCCAGAATTTTGCCAACTGAAAACTAGTTATCCTCTGCATATTAAAAAAAAAAAAATCACAGAAGCCCAATTTCAGCAAGGTGGTAAGACTGAAGTTGAAGAAATGTAATACTCTGATCAATGCACAAGTGAAAGTAGGAAGTAGTACATATAGACAGCAATTTAGGAGTGTGAAGTATACACATTGCTATATTTAAAAGAGATAACCAACAAGGACCTGCTGTATAGTACAGGGAACTCTGCTCAATATTCTTGGGAAAAGCACCTCAAAAAAAAGAAACACAGGTATATGTACAAGTGAGTCACATTGTTGTACCCCTGAAGTGAGCACACTGTTAATCTTATGCTCCAATTTAAAATAAAGATTAAATCAAATGAAATGGAATATTAACAAACACTGCTCCATTGCGTTTAGAAATGGCATGAAAGAAGGGAGATAGATACGTACCCAACCTTTGCATTCTTATCGCACTCATTCTTTACAAGGGATAAAGCCCCTTCTCCTCTGACCTGAGCTGGCTCTTGATTTCTTACAATACTGACTGTGCCTTGAGGTGCCCTGCAGGGACCGACGTCCTTCTGGCCCCACCGTGGTTCCCTGAACCTGTAAGAGGTCCATCCTGCAGGGCAGCGCTGGAGTCTAGTCGCTGAGACCTAGGCCTTTGTTGACCCTTGAATTTGCTTATTTAAAGGAACTTTCCAGAATCCCACTGACGTCCTGCTACCGTTTCTTTCCCTACAGAGTGTTTGGGATGTTCGCCCACACAGAAGACAGGGAAACTGTGTACGCCTGGTTTACATTTTCACACTGGCTCGTGTATGCCAACAGTGCTGCAAACCCAATCATTTATAATTTTCTCAGTGGTGAGTCTTCACCTGTTACTTCTCTACAAACTACAGCCCAGGGCAAGGGATGGATGACCAGAAGGTATCAACACTCTTGAACTGTAGGAAGAGCTTAGTTGCAATATAATAAGAATTTTTTTCACTGATCTGACTGGTCTTTAGCTTTTTTCCCTTATGAGAAGAAATACTTATTACCTGACAATCAGAGAAAATTGTCTAAGTAACTTTTTCCATAAAATTTAGAAGAAAAGTTGAAATAGGAGAGTGAAATTGTGAGAACTAGATAATAATCTTGCTTGTCATATATTAAACTTATGATTTACAAAGATGTGAAATCATTTTATCCAAAAATAAAACAGCCTTGCTTATATCATTTCCTTTGCCAATATTTATAGCTTAATTGAGATGGAGTTGGAACCTTTGTATTTGTAGGTATTTCTTTGTATTTACATTTCTCTTGTGGGTAATGAATATCTCTTGAGCTTATCTCAAGATTTCTCACTGACCCAAAAAATTATATTCCTCCTAAATAACACGGAACTAAACAGACCACACGCACATTTCTCTGCAACCAATTCCACCCGTCTCTGTTTATGGAATCAATATAATTATAAAAGGCATTTAACTAAATACTTTTTAATGGTATAGTCGCTTTTAAAAACTGTATTTGTTTGTTTGTTTGGCCTCACCATGTGACATACAGGATCCCAGGGATTGGACCCATGCTCCCTGCATTGAGAGCAAAGTCCCCCTCAAAAGACAGTCAGTTAGGCTTTTTTTAAATAAATTTTTTCAGTCATGTCATGTACCCTGTGTATGGCTGTCCAGAGGCACAGTGGTAAAGAGTCCACCTGCCAATGCAGGAAATGTGGGTTCAATCCCTGGGTCAAGGGATTCCCCAGAATCCCCAGAAGGGAATGGCACCCCGCTCTAGCTCCAGCTCCAGCCTGAGAAACTCCATGGACAGAGTGGCCTGGAGGGTACAGTCCATGGGGTCACAAAGAGTCAGACACCACAGAGCAATGGAGCACGCATGTGCCTTCTATACCTCTGCTTTATTTCATCTTTGAGTAAATCAGATGGTATATATGTGAAGGGTGTTCTGTATTCATTTCACCCTTTCCGAGCCCCCCTCTGCTCACTCAACCCCAGTCTCCAAAATAAAGACTAATTCAGACTGGGATACCCAGAGCCCGCTGCTCATGTGCTATTTGAAAGGAGGAGGGGCATGTAGAGCCAGGACTTAAAAGGAATCCCTGGGCTTAGGAGTACCTAAAGCCCTGAGCTTGCACTAAGAAGGGGAAATCTACTAGAGCATCAGAGAGAGGTGTCTGAAGTAGAAGCCAGCGAACCAAGTCAAAGTGCCGTGATGGGGTCAAGAGTGATGCAAGAAGGTCACTGGGCACTGATTGTAATCACTCAATAATCCAGGTGGGTAATCGAAGCTCAGGGACAAGAAATGGTGATTTCCAATGCTGTCATTTACACTTATAGAGACTTAAAAGGTCACTGTTTCCTGGTTATCCTTCAGTGTGACATCAATAATTTAAAGATAAGGAAAAGCTTCTAAGGGTTTTTATTTTTCATTCATTTTTTTTTGTTGTTGTTCTGCCTTACGCAGATTACAGGACTTCCCCGGTGGCTCAGACGGTAAAACATCTGCCTACAATGCAGGAGACCAGGGTTCCATCCCTGGGTTGGGAAGATCCACTGGAGAAGGAAATGGCAACCCACTCCAGTATTCTTGCCTGGAAAATCCCATGGACAGAGGAGCTTGGCAGGCTACAGTCCATGGGGTCACTAAGAGTCAGACACAACTGAGCAACTTCACTTTCTTTCATGCAGATTACAAAAAGAAACTTTCTAGATAGTTTAAGGTACTTTTCTAGATATTTTGTTGAATTGATTGTGTCAGTAGAACAATTTCTTCACAGTACAACGTAGGAGTGATTTCTGCAAACTTTTGGCCATGTACAGCATAGATTTCATCAGTTTTGAAATTATTAAATATCTCTGGGCACCCTTCTGCTGGTGCTCAATTGTACTGTAGTAATCTTGTGAAAAATAACCCACATTCACAAATATATGTAGTGTGCCTATAAAAACATTAAACAAACTTCAAACATTGAGCATGTAAAACAGTCCATTTTATGGAAATGTCTCATCACTTCAACAATGTACTAAGCATTCATTCTTTATTATGACTAATATTCCACTGAATATATGTATATTTGCAGCAACATGAATGGGCCTAGAAATTATACTAAGTCAGACAGAGAAAAACAAATATCATCATATCAATTACATGTGGAATCTTAAAAAAATATACAAATGAATATATTTCCAAAAAGTAATAGACCCATAGACATAGAAAACAAAGTTATGGTTACCAAAGGGAAAAGTGAGGGGAGGTGGGAGGGATAAATTAGAAGTTTGGGCTGAAAATATACACACTACTACATATAAACATATATATGTGTGTATGTATGTATATATATATGTATATATTTAAATATTTAATATATGGAATTTAGAAAGATGGTAATGATAACCCTATATACAAAAAGAGAAAAAGAGACTCAGATGTATAGAACAGACTTGTGGACTCTGTGGGAGAAGGCGAGGGTGGGATGTTTCAAGAGAACAGCATTGAAACATGTATATCTAGGGTGAAACAGATCACCAGCCCAGGTTGGATGCATGAGACAAGTGCTCGGGCCTGGTGCACTGGGAAGACCCAGAGGGATAGGGCGGAGAGGGAGGTGGGAGGGGGGACCGGGATGGGGAATACATGTAAACCCATGGCTAATTCATTTCAATGTATGACAAAAACCACTGCAATGTTGTAAAGTAATTAGCCTCCAACTAATAAAAATAAATGGAAAAAAATATTTAATATAATTATTATAATATATTTATATATTATATTGTATATAATCATGAAATATTATATATATATAATGTGTATATATATATATATATATATATATATATATATATAAAATAACAAGATTTTCCCTTGTGGCTCAGACAGTAAAGAATCTGCCTACATTGCAGGAGACCCAGTTTTAATCCCTGGGTTGGGAAGATCCCCTGAAGAAAGCCTAAGCTCCCCACTCCAGTATTCTTGCCTGGAGAATTACATGGACAGAGGAGCGTGGTGGGCTACAGTTCATGGGATCGCGAAGAGTCAGACATGACTGGGTGACTAACACTCTCATTTTCAAACATAAAAATAAACAACAAGGACCTACTGTATAGCACAGGGAACTATACTCAGTCATTTTCTAACAACATATAAGGGAATCTGAAAAATTGTAACTGAATGCCTGTGCTGTACATGATATTGTAAATCAAAGATACTTCAATTTAAAAATACATGATTTTTTAACAAAGCTTGCACAAAGCTTCCGATAAAGAAATTTCCTTTTTCTATCTTTTCCTCACCATTATAAAATGTTGCACCCGCATGTAGATTTGGCTCCAGGAAGTCACTCATTTGTACCCTATCCGAGATTGGTTAAAACATACTGACTGCAACATTCTTTTCTCCTTTCATTCTCCGCGGTAATCCAGGAAAGTTTCGAGAGGAATTTAAAGCCGCGTTTTCTTGCTGTTGCCTTGGGGTTCATCACCGCCAGGAGGACCGGCTGGCCAGGGGGCGGACAAGCACCGAAAGCCGCAAGTCCCTGACCACGCAGATCAGCAACTTTGATAACGTGTCGAAACTGTCTGAGCAGGTGGTGCTCACGAGCATCAGCACGCTCCCCGCGGCCAACGGCGCCGGGCCCCTCCAGAGCTGGTAGGAGGGTGACGGCCAGGAGAAGGATGGCCGGGGACCACTCTTCTTTTTTTAAACCTCTGTACACAGAAACTTTGTTATGCTACTGATCTGAAGCGAGAACTACTGTGTGGACTGCTCCCCGCTTTTCTTTTTTTAAGGGAAAATGATCTCTTGCTCTTTGGAAATAAAGTCAGTTTCAAATCATTTCTCAACTTTTGATTGAAATATGTTAGAAGTCGAAGCTTTCACTGGATTTATTTTCAGGCTGTTTCACTTTTAACTTCATGTACTAGGATTATTGTCAATTAAACGTGTGAAGATTTCCAATGCTAATTGTTATTTGAATCTACCTTCAAATTGGTGGGTAAAAGTTTCCCAAAGTTATCCTTTGCTTTTCTTTTGGTTGCTAAAAGAAGTAGCAGTTACTAGCTCTGGATTAGCAAGAGATATGTTAGTTGACTTTGTAGCTTTAAAAAATTAAAGAGAAGTGTCATTATGATGTGATATCTGAGAGTATATTTATATACAAAATAGCATATTATATTAGATAACTCAAAATCTATATTTCAAAACTAAATATATAGGCTATTCAACTTTATTTTCCATTAATTGTATAACTCAGTTACACAGTTTTCTTGGGTTTGTAATCTTACCATGCCTAGTATTTCTCATTTTAATGAATAGCCAGGAAGGCTCTGTATTCATACAAAAATTTTGGAGTACTGTAAATTTGCAATTTCCATCTCTAAGGAAAGATTTTAACATTGAAGAATAAGATACAACATAATCACATTCTTCTAACCAGTAAAAATGAGATAACTGGTCTTACTAGAAGAAGTTAAGAATGCAATTTACAAAGAAAAGTAGCAGTATATACCAAATCACTCTGGGTCCCATATTGGACAGGTTAATGTCATGGAGAGTTGATGGTAATTATTTATATTTATTTACATTTTATAAACATTTATCAGGTCTTCTCCAGTGGCTCAGCAGTTAAAAAAAAAAAAAAATCCACCTGAAATGAAGGAGCTACAGGAGATGTGGGCTCAATCCCTGGTTTGGGCAGATCCCCTGGAGAAGGATTTGGCAACTCACACCAGTATTCTTGCTGGAGAATTACATGGACAGAGGAGCCTGGTGGGCTACAGTCCATAGGGTCACAGAGCTGGACCCGACCACAGCAACTTAGCATGCATGCATACAAACATTTATCAAACACCTCCCAGAAGGTACCCACTGCTCTAGGATAGATGTGATCAGGCCTTTGAGAGAGCTCCAGTCCACTGCGGGGAACTTGTTGGTAGAGGATGCAGGGAGATGATTCAGACTCAGAGTAGGAAGTAACCACTGATGGCAGTCCTCACCCTGACATGAAGGTTGCAACTTTTTGTTTCTGTTTAATTAGAGTGACTCTTGATGTCAGTGAATTCTATCCATACCTGTGGCTGAGAGCCAGGTAGCTAGGAGAACGCAGGGTTTTGCTCTTAATTCACACCCAGAGGAACAGGAGTGTAGTATATTTTGTGCAAATGGAAGATCTGGGGTTCAAAGCACTGAATATTTTCAATTTGCTTCTCTGCAAAATTATTCTGATTCAAATAGTCACTTTAAAATTAAATCAAAAGTAAAAGAGATGTTCGTGGATAGTTGCTCTTCTTATAGTATAGTAGCAGGCATTCTTATTTTATTAAAACAAAAGTTAAGGAGAATATTTAAGAAAGATTTTCATAGACCTTAAAAATTATGGGTTTTTTTGTTACTTTTTTTCAACTCATTGCTTTCAGAGAGAATATAACCAAATTATCCACAAATGGTTTTCATGTCTTAGATTTGGGATTACTGTGTGCTTTTTACTACTCAAAGCAAAAACTACCCTTGAACAAAGTTTATTGAGATTATATTGCTAGTTATCAGAATGATATCAATGAAAGCAAATTTTGTAATTCTCCTCTCTCCTCTTTGTATATTTGAGAACTTTTTTTCTTATTTATGCTGTGTGTAAAAAGAATTGTGATTTTCATATTGAGATGGAAACTAGCATTTTAGTTTGAGGATAATGCCAAATAATATTGATAATATGCCTTAATAGCTAAGTAGTATCTCAGAGTAAGAGCTAAATGTTCAGATCCTAACATATCTAGTTAATTGTCATTTAAGAAGAGAGAGGGCAAGAAAGCAAGAGCCAGAGCTCCAGAGACAGAGAGGCTCAGAGAGGTGTGTTGTGTAATGGTATGAAGGATGGACTCAAAAGTCAGAATTCCTTTGCTCTAAGTCAGGGATTCTCAAAATGTGTTTCCTGAACCATCATTGTCAGCACCACCTGAGAACTCATTAGCTGTGCAAATTTTCACCCTAGTCCTAGCTCAGAAACTTTGAGGGTGGTACTCAGGAATCTATGTGCTCACAAGCCCCACAGGTGATTTCTGCTCCAGACACTAGCATCTAGCACCTGTACACTAACCCATGTGAAATAAAGTATTTTACTCCCCCGGTATCTACAATAGGGACCATCATCATCACCACTGTCAATTTGATTTGAGGTCAGAAAGAAGAGGCGAGTACCAGTGTTGAAAACCACTCAGCATCATCTCAGTCAAAGAGATAATGGGTCGTGAAATACTTGCCTCTGCGTGACCAGAGCAGTGTGGAGAGAAGACAGGTTCTAAGGCCCTTGTGTGTTTTATAGCTACCTGGATGACCTGAGTTTCTAACTAAAACTTTCAAATCTCCAGTTTTATTTGCCCTTACAAAAGTCTAAATTTGTTGAAGCAGACATTTTCCAAGAATGAGCATTGCCTGAAAGGAAAGAACAAATAAACACACACCAGTCCTTATGAGAAATGGTGGGAAAGGGCTATCAGCCCATGCATACTTCTGCCAACTAGTTGATGCACGAATCCTCCTAAGAGGTCTGGATTTAGTACTGACCTTAATAGAACAAAGGGGAAAGAAACAGGCGTTCCCAAACCTGCCAATCTTATGGAAAAAAGGGTCAACTACTTACCCCATTATGTGCTATTAATAAGACAAATGAGATTTCCAAAAGGAATATGTTGAGACTATTTGATGCTGCACATAGAATATGTATCTCTCTTGCTTTGCCATATTTCAAAGATTAAACTTAAAATGTCATTAATGTTACTGAAATTTTGTTATCAAATAGAATGATAATAGTTTTACCTTATATAGGATCCATTTGAACTTTATCATTTCTGAATTTCTACAAGCTTATGACAATATTGATATTCAAATTCATTCATTCTTGGCAAAAAGATGACTTTCAGTTTCTGAAGATGGCTTCTAAATTCTCCAAGGCTGGGAACATTTCTTGGGTATTAAATAACTGTTATAAATCATGGATAAATTAATTACAAAACTGTTAGGCATAATAATATTGAACTTCACTCCCAGTGTACATTGTTTTCATGAAGATAAAGAAAAATATGCTTATAAGATGTAATCTGAATGCATAAAAACTTGAATGACAACATCAGAATGACAAATTTCAGAGATAACTTTGGACACAAATTGTGAGGAGAGCTATTACTATTTTAATACTAGTGCAATAGTAGATGTGTTTGCACTTGATATAAATAATAATAATCAATTGCATTTCAAAAAATCTGGGCAGCCATTAACATTTAGAAAGCTTTGCAATTCCAGTTAATTTTACGACAGAAGACTTTTCTACTTCCTACAAGTTACAAGTCAAAAAAGAAAAAAATTCTATTAGTTTATGTGCATTAGCTTTCAAATGGCATGGAGCAAAATTATAGATTTCTTTTCAGAGACAATATATGTAAACACAGAAAATATTGTCAATTTAAGTCTACTCTATTACATTATGTACATAGTAAATGAAGTGCAAAGGCATGAAAAACACTTATCTCCCCAAATTCAAGGGGGCCTGTTTTCTAGAGAACTATTGCAACTAAAGAGGGAGTGAATTACTCTGTCCACTTTGCCACATATTTCTATAATCTCAAAATTTCTTTGTAAGTTTTGGAATTATAATACTTTTTAAGTTTTTCATGAAATGTATTTCTATAATTGCTGTATGCCACATGTGTAACATCATGTCACTTGTTTAATAGTTATTTTATACATTTAAAGTTCTTTACGCCTGACATCGTGTCTTCATGAAGAAATTTCTTATCCAAACTGACGTGATTGTGTACCAACTACCATGAATGATGCTGCTTAGGTAGTTTTTAAGTGAAAACCATACTAAGAATTCTATAATCACATTCACACCATCCTCTCCGTTGTATGAAAGATATTGTTGTTGTTCATTAGATAAGTTGGATATTCACTCATAACTACTGTCAGATCTCTGCAGTTAAGGATTGAATTAAGCCCTCTGGTGCAGTACTTAATGACCCAAATATGTTTCCCAATAAGTTTATATAATCAGAGATAATCATGATATAAAAGCTTTTTAATACTGTTTTTAAGAGCAGGTACTATAATAAAGATGGTTAGAATTAAGATAGAAATATTTCATAAAAATTATGTAAAACTGCATATATAGAGTATTAAATTTTGGAGCTTTTATCTGAGTTAAGAGATTAAATCTTTTTTTGACTTAGAGGAAATGATGACCTTGTGATTTTCAATTTGTTCTTAGACTAGTACGTTTGGCATTTACATAAATAAGCAATTTTCCTCTTGCTCACTGTATCTAAAACTTTTAAGGCTATTTTAAGTTCACCGATAAATTTTAAAATGAGTGTTTCCTGCTTTCCATTCTGATAAATGACAGAATCAACTATCAAGCATTTTAATTTAAAAATTCATTTTTGTTCAGCACTGTTGATTCTAACTTTGATCAAAATGATGCCAAAGTAACTAGGGAAGGTCATTGCTTGGCTCCTTTTAGAGAAAGGAGATTTGAAGGTGGGGCAGTTTCTAAACATAAAGTGAAATTCAGGGTGGAATCCCAGGAGAGACGGACTGTTGCAGCGGTGAGGGTTTCTGCTTTGAGTGATCCATCAGGACAGACTAGGGGATTGGCCAGA